TTAACCATGACAGAGTGTAAAAAAGAACTGAAATGTAAACTCTAAAGAACATTCTACGGTTGACTAAGAAACAAATTGAAAGGTGAAATCCTTCCCCAAGGTAGGAATTAGACCTTCTCAGAGAACATATGGTTGTAGCCCACTGGATGAGGGAGAAGTCTGCTGAGTCCCCTGGGCCAGAGCTGATCCACAGCTATCAGAAAAGCAGGAAAGACTCCTCTAAAATCCAGGAGGGGCAAAGCTGGCAGTCAGGCATGCAGAGTCAGGGTACCAGGAACCCACTCACAAGGAAGGTAATGCTGGAGTATGCAGTATCTGCATGGGGAAGGTATGTTAGACTAGGTTCTCTAGAGAAGCAAAACCAGTAAATCTTATAGAGAGAAAGAGAAAAGAAGAAATTTATCTTAGGAAAATGGCTCACACACTTATAGAAGCTGGCAACTCCCAAGTTCTTGGATCAAACATCAAGCTGGAGGCTTTTCCCGACTCACACAGCTGCAGGGGCTGATGAGCTCAAGGTAGGCAGGCAGTATACTACGAATGATGAATCCAAGACCTCTGGGCCAAATGGTGGATTGTTTGCTTACGGACTGTTGTAGGCAGCACAACAGAATCTCAATCTACAGAAGAGTGTCTCTTTTCCCAGGATGTCCATAAATATACTAGAAGCAAGCCACACCCTTAGGGAAACTCCCTTTCAACGGATTGGCTGCTCAAAACATATAATCTGATCCCTTCATGGGAACAATCCACATCACAATTGTGGTCCAGCCATGTTGACACAAAGCTCCAACTACCACAGAAGGCCATGGCAAATAATCTTCCGGGGGTAAATGAAGGCCAAGTTTGGAGAAGAGGAAAACAGTAGGAGAGAACACATCAGCAGTGTGTTCAGTGGTAGCACAAAGCCCAGGGTGCACTATGTCTGAGTTGGGAGGGGCATGGGAAACAATGCTCTAGGGTGCTGGGAGGCATAGCTTAGGGACAGGTACATGGAGTAGTCAAGGAATCAGAAGCCCATCCTCCAGCAGACCTGGAGTGCTTTGGTATCCTCAGCAAAGCAGTTACCAAACTGGCTGAAGCTGCAAGAAAGACTAGAGAAACTGTGCTCTGGCTGTGTGGTTAAAATAGAATGCCCTGGCAACACTATAGCAGAAGCAAGAAGAAATAAAATCAGAAGGAAAAAGACAAGCCCCTACCCTTTTGCAATGAACCTACAGTGCCTTCACTGCTAAACTTAACAGAGTGCTCACTGTAGAGGAAAAATGCTTAAAGGGCCCAAACCATTGTCAAATGAAAGAAGGAACTTGAAAAGGCAATAAATGGATAGCTGACACAATTAATTCTTAGAACAAGCATTACCAGTGTGTAATTCTAGGCCAAGAATTCCAGGCTAATCTCCAAAGACAGTATTTCCCCCAATGTGAATGAGAATTATACCTGGTACCAGTTATTGGATTATACTCTATACAGCCACTGCAAGAATATCACTATGGTAGGTATCGATGTAAGAATAAATAAATGCCACAAAAGAGATATCCTCAATTAATAGCAATGCATATGAAAAGTTCATATATAACAAAGATGGCAGTTCAATTTCATTGAGAAAAGGATGGATCATTTAATAAATTATTCTAGAACAGATGTCTATCCATCTTAAAAAAAGGAAAATGGACCATGAATTGACAACCCATTCAAACATAAATTCCACCTGGATTATTATTTTTTTAATTTGTTAAACCACAATAATCTTATAAGAAAACATAAATGTTGGGGGATATTTCTAACCAAGACTGGAAACTCGAAATCTAGAGGGGAAGAAAAGAGATATTACTGACCATATTTTAAAAAATTGTTTGACAAAAGGTATCATGGACCATTCTAAAGGATGCCTATGTATGTAGGTTTGAATAGAAGTGTGTATAAGTGTATGCACTATATCTATGTATGTAGATAAATGCACTGTATTTCTTAACGTTAGCTGGTAAAAGAGCCTAGAACCTAAGATGCAATGAGTTCACATACTGCACAGATCATAGTCTCTATATCAGCCAGGGTCCAGTAGAAAATGGAATCCACAAATAATCTGGACAGGATAGGTCTTATAAAGAACAGGCTGCCCAGGCCACAACTGGTCTATAATTAAAGGGTCAAAGTTGACGGGCAAGGAACGACAGGCCAGGACTGGCAAGAGGAGGACTGCTATAGTGCCAGTAGGTCATGGCTGGAACACAGGGGAGTTGCAGGCAGAGACTGACAACAAAATATGGTAGAGGGTTAGCTCTGCCAAGTTTTCCACACACATGCCACTGGCAGCACAGAGCAAGCAGGAGCAGAATTACACCAGCACCCCACCTCCTGCAGCGTCCCTCCAGCATCCTCCACTGATTAACCTTATCCAAGTCAATTAGAAAAGGAGGTACAACAAGGCAAATGAAGGGTGCCTTTGGAGATAAGAGACAATAAATTATTAACTGGTACTGTCTCTCCCACTAAAAGCAACTGCTCCCTATAGTGGTCCTGTAAGTTTATTTGTATGATCTGAATTCTCAGGTGTACAGTAGAGTTGACAAGGGGTAAGGTTGTAGTCACTTCTCGGTCACAGCCAGCTACCCAGAGGGACTGAGTAGTTGAACCTGTGGGCTTGGGACCATAGTCACAGGGGACATCAAGCTCAACTGGCATAACATACTACACAAAACATCGTTCCACCTCCTAGTTTGGTGAGTAGCAACTGGGATCTTAAAAGCTCGCAAGTCGTCATCTTGCAACAATGGGTCTCTCCTTGTCCAGAGCAAAGAAGAAGGAAGAAAACCAAAGATGCATGGAAACAATTAGTCCTAGTGACTGGTACACCATGTGATCTGCAACCTATATGACTATGAGACCAGAAGAACTAGATGGTGCCCAGCTACCACTGTCAACCACTTGTAGGGGGATCTATGTAGGAGATCCTGGATAGAAAGGGAGAATGTGGAACAAAACTCAAATTCACTTGGAGAAAAAAAAAAAAAAGGGAGGGTGGGAGCAGGTTTGCTGGTCTGATAGAGCCTGGAGGAACCACTGAGATATGGTCTCTAAGTGCCCTTCAGATCTGGAACTGAACCTACATCTGTGGCTTCCAGCCAAACAGAAGACAGGTATATGAGTTGAACATTTGCCTGAGGTAGATATACTCTTTGGAGAGAACAATCATGGGAGAAATAAGGGCTGTTTATGCACAGGGAGATAGCTCAGGGGGCAAGAGTGCATGGAGGGATGGACACAGTGAAGAGGTAACTGTCGGCAGGAAGTGGGAGGGGAGCTATTGCATTGTGGTAAATTGTGGTCAATGTCATGAGACAAAGTGTATGTGAACTGCTGTATGGAAAGTAAATTTGGTCTGTAAATTTTCACCCAAATCACAATTAAAAATAATAATAATAATAATAAAGCAATTGCTCCTTGAAGAAATGGATGATTCCAGGACTAAAATCAAAAACAAAACCAAACTCACTGTTGTCAAGTCGAATCCAACTCATAGTGACCCCTCCTTGGGTTTCCAAGGCAGTATCACTACGGAAGTAGATTGCCCAGTCTTCCTTCCGAGGAGTGGCTGGTGGGTTTGAACTGCTAGCCTTCTGGTTAGCAGTCAAATGCTTTAGGCACTACGCCACCTTTAAGATGAGTATTGAACATGTTGTTATGCCTAAATATAAGTACTCAAAAAAAGGGGTAAGAGGGGAATACATATATGATGGAAGCATGTTACGAGGGCATAGAAGTCAGCTTAAAGGGGCGCCAACTCGTTACAGCTGAGGCAATTTAGCATCAAAATAATCAAACACATTTACAAATTCTAAACTTCCAGGAATAAAACTGGCATGAGTCTGTATCAATGATACATAAATGATAAAATGATGAATGGACAGATGGATGATAGATAGATAAAGGAAGAAAGGAGGGTAATAGTAAATGTAGAAAAGCTGCTATACTTGAAAAATTATTATTTTGTAACCATTATGTAGACATTGGGAGCTCTGGTGGCATAGTGTCCAAGGCATTTGACTGCTAACAAGAAGGCTGGTAGTTTAAATCCACCAGCCACTCCTCGGAAGGAAGAGTGGGCAATCTGCTTCCGTAGGGATATCTCCTCAGAAACCCAAGGAGGGGTCGCTATGAGTTGAATAGACTCTATGGCAGTTAGATTGGCTCATGTTGGAATCATTAATAGATACTAAATCTAAAGGACAATTTTGAAGAAGAATAGGATATTTTCATGGCCTTAAAAGTTTTTCTTAAAAAGTTTTTCTCCAAAGGTTACTTACTAGAACAAAGAAAGGAAGGGAGGGAGAAAGGAAGGGAAAGATATAAACAAACAAATATACACAGTGTAGTAGTTACCAGGTCCTAATCCCTAGAACCTATAAATGTTCCCTTATTTGAAAAAAGTTTCTTTGCGATATGATTAAATTAGGGATCCTGAGATGGGGAAGACTATTCTAAAATATCTGAGTGGCCATTACATGCCATTAATAAGCATCCTTATAAGGATGAGGCAAAAGGAGATTTAACACAGAGAAGAAGGTGTAATAAAGATGGAGCAGAGAGAGATCAGAAGATGCAGGCCTTTAAGACCGGCGTGATGTAGCCACAAGCCAAGGAATGGCAACAGCCATCAGAGGCTGGAAGAGGTAAGGAATGGATTCTCCCCTAGAACCTCAGGGGTATGGCCCAGCCAATAACTTGATTTCAGTCCAGTGGTACTGATTTCAGACTTCTGTGAGAAAATAAATTTCTTGGGATTTTTACTGTTTCAGGGAAGGAAGAAGTAAATGCATTTTAAGTGAATGAAATTATATCAAGAATATGAAAAAACAACTTCAAGTGCTTGCTAAACTAATTACCTTAATAAGAGGGAACTCTGATTTCACGGTACAGTACTTCTGGGTGCCACAGGTACACATAATGAACTTATACTCACTTTTTAAAAAAATAATGATTTCAAAATAACCACTTACCAAACACTATTCCTTTAGCAAATGGAGGAAACAATTCTGAATGTCGGAATAAGTTTTTGTGAATTTGCCAGAGTTCTTTGTGAAGTTTCTTAAAGTCACTGTATCTTTTCCATACGATTATCTAAAGAGAGGAAAAAATTGTATGTGTATCTATAGTACAACTGTTTAGGTTCAAACATCTGAACAACAAACAATTTTTTCATTAATTGTTCAAAATAGTCCTACAAAAGAAAACAAACATAGGTTCCAACTAGTATGAGTAACATAAAATTAATAATATTTGCTTTTAAAATATAGACCAGCCAATTCTTCCTTAAACTGTTCTGTTTGGGTTTTAAAATTACATTTTAAACAAGTATTGCTTTCTTCATACTGGAAAAAATACTCAACTTGGTACAAAGAAAGTATATACTACATAAAATGTTACTTAACCTCTTCAAAAACCAAAAACTACTAGCAAATATTTTGTTGTATATATTTTTGCAGCAATTAAAAAAAACAGTAACTATTGACCTGGAAATTAGCTAGATGTCAAAACACATATTCTGTCTCAAAAGCAACATGGATATAAACAGAAAATAATCAATCCAGATAATTATTAAACACAAAGTACATACCAAGAATTTGCCTAAAAGGATAAGTAAACTGAGTAATACTGAAGAAGAAATGGCTGTGTTGAAAGAAATTAACATATTTTGCTTTGTAGTAATTTCATAAGTATCAACTTACGATAGCATTAAAATTTCTGAGGGCAAGGTGAATACTTACCAGAATATCATTAAAACTATTTTCTTTCAAAAGAGAAAATAATCATCTAGATTAGATAACACTTAAAGTGAGTTTATCTTCATTAACTTAAATTATTGTTTAACCTTATCCAGATAAATTTAGGTGGAAAAAAAAAAACACTTTGTAAAGAAGGATTTAAAACATAAGGTCTTCAAGACTTCCAGTAACATGGAAGAATAGAAAGACGAGTTACACAGACCCTCTTCAACAAAGAAAAGAGAAACGAATTGACAAAGATACAGAAGATAATTCTGGAGCCCTGAGCTTTGAAAGGAAGTATACAGAAGTGGATTAGGCACTAACTAGTGAAAAAACCTGAACAAAAACAGGACCTACGAATAGGCTCCATTTGCCAAGGACAGCAGGGACATATGGAAGGCTGACAACAGGAAAGGAGACAGGTGGTGAGTGTATAAGTACTGCCAACTAGCAAATAGAGGAACACAGCACAGTACCCTGCTTGCGTAGAAAACATACAAAGAAAACTAAAATCATGAGCAAGACATTCCAACATATAATCACCAATTAAATATAAACACAAAATGTCACAATGCCTTGGAGAAAACAGAGCATCACAGTCCACACAAAGAAGCAAGATAAAGCAGGAGGAACAAGGGACCAGAAAACAGACCCAAAGCACATCCCTGAGGAAGATGCAGCATTGGAACTCCCTGATAAGGAATTCAAAAGAATTATATTCAACAAATTGAGAGACAGATCAAGGAAAACACTGACAAAACTGACAAAAACACATAGAAAACCCTAGAACAATTTCGAAAGACAATACAAGAACAAATGACAAAATAAATGAAAAATTAGAAA